CCTCTTAGCAATGTGCTTCACAATTCAGCAGTGCAGAGAGGCTGACGATGAAATGACTTGTGTTTCATTGCATTCCAAGAGTGTAATCATTGCCTCACTACCAGAGTTCTATCTGCTTTCTCTGAGAATTAACTGCACTTTATGTCATCCTCTTCCATTGACTTGTATTGCCGAGCTGGTGCGAGGACAACGTTTGAATGAAAACTGCAGTTCAAACTGCAGAACCATTCTTTTTTTTTTTTTTTTTTTTGGTGCTGGGGATCGAACTCGCGAAACCACTGAGCTAAATCCCCAGCCCCATGACAGTACTTTCTTATGTTGTTAGGAATCACTATAACCAAAGATGTAGTTCTCCATATATATTTTGTATTCATATTCATATGACTGTAGCTTAGTAAAATAAACTACAGAAATACTGTTCTAAATACAATTTATTGGTTAAAATGATGAACATTATAAGCATTGTTAGTGATATTCAACCTGTGTATATTCATTTAAGATACTGAGTGAATAGTAATGATTTAGTTCCACTTTGTTTTTAAATTAATGTAAATTTCTTTATATATGTTTCATTTGTAGGGGGATGGGAACTGAGTTCAGAAATTAGCTAATTTGAAAGAAACCTGTAGGTTTCTAAAATCTTGTGATAAATTATGGTACATTGAAATAAATTCTTGAGGAACATCTTTTCTCAGATTGCACTTGTGAGAATTTTTCTTAAAATATCTGTTATGTTACAATTTAAATAGAAGTATATTTCATTAGGTAAATAATATAGAGGCATAATGTTTTGATATCCTTTCAGTTTTATGTTTCTTGTAATATATGGAGTTCTTGTATAAATCACATGCTTTTAGAGACTAAAGAAACTTATAAGGAAAAACTGTACCTAGTGATTGAAATGCTATGATTCTTGGAGTCACATGAAATTATAATGTATTCATTCATATCTAGGACTCATTGTAATAATGCATTTCCAGCAACATTCAGTAAAAAATAACTGAGTAGTTTTACTTTATATACTCTAAATTATTACTGAGTAAAACACTTTATGTAAGAGCACAAAGTTGACTGTTAAGAGTTAAAAAATAACATCTTTTGCTCACTGCAACACAAAATTTGTGGCTGAGGTACTTGTAACAAGATAGATTAGAAAGAGAACAGCATACAAAATCATTTAATGTAAGTCTTACATTTATAGGAGCCTTCAAACAAAAACCCAAAGAAACAGGAAAACTTTGTATTTTTATGCTTAGGTGTGATGAAGATTAGACAGTTATGTAGAAGTATGATTGGACGAAAGGGTATAATCTAATAGTAATAAACTGGGATAACTTAGTCAGGCCTATTTGTTTAGATTCTTGTCTGTGTCCTAGTATCTTCAGAGATAAAACATTCTTTTTCTCTTCATGTAGGGTGGGCATCTCTGGAATAAGGAATCTTATAACCTATTTCAGAGGAAGGTCAGAGATTCTGGTATAGTCTATTGCAGGGGAAAAGAACCAAGGCCAGAGAGACCTTCCTCCTTCTGCTATTTTCATGACTACCAAAAATGCCATAATTTGGGTAGTGTGTCCTGAATTGTATTAATAGGTAGTTTAAATAAATTTCACATTGCTATGCTTACCCAAATATTCACATAGTCTTTATCATAGCATTGCTTCTAGTAATAGCACAATTAAATTTTGAAATACTGATTTTTCTAATACCCTAGTGCCTTAGAAGCAAAACTAGCCATATTTATACTATTGTGCATGAATAATGAAATGCCACTTTAGTTTCATATGGATTGAAATGAATTAAACTCCATTTTGGGGAGCTAAAGTTCTTTTCAAAATGTAGTTTTCCCAAAATAAAAGGTATCTTTGAAATTATAGAATCTCTCTACAGTTGGTTTGTCTAAAGCACTGTTTTGAATAGTATTTAAAAAAAAAGAACTTACTCTTCGTTCTAATATTTAGAAACAACAACATGAAAAAAAAATCTAATAAGAATTTAAATATTTGATTATTTTTCATCTTTAGCATTCTCTGTGTATGTTCTACTGGGGATTTAACTTAGGCCAGTGTTGGCGAACCCCTTAGAGCTTTCAATGAAACGAGCAGCCTGCTGCAGCACGCATGCCATAGGTTCACCACTACTAACTCAGGGTCTTGTGCCTGCTTAGGCCAGGGCTCTAACACTGAGCTGCTTCCCCAGCCCATCTTTAACATTTCAGTAATACAAAAAGATAGTATATAATAATTGTTGCTTGAACATATTAAATTCTGACTTCTATTTGTGACATATTTTAAAGCTTTTCACAAAACTAATGGCATTGCAAGCTGAAATTTTCTTATCTAAATGTCATCATTTACGAAATCTCCATCTCAGATACTGTATATAAATAGCTGGATTGTATTTTGGGTTCAGTTTGCTTATATTTCATTTTATCATTACATGTTTAATATGTAGAGTAGAAAGAAAAAATTTTAAAACCTGGCATTTAGGTCTGTGTATATTTATAATCTTTCTTGTTAATGAGAAGTACTTTATTTAATGGGAAAATAGAATGTTAATATTTTAATATCATTTTTTGCTGTTTGTCAAAGAAATGATTCTTGAATATACTAAAAGAGTAATGACTCCATCCCGTACCTAAAGTATATTTGTTTCCAAAGACATGTTTCCTAATGTAGGGAATCTGAGGCTTAAGTATATTCATTTCTTCTGATACTGTAATTTACCTGTGGCTGAAATCTACATGGATAAAATGATATGGAGAATTTAACAGACACTTAACAATAATGATGTAGGAGTATTGCAGAGAGAAGTATGTAGTATTAGAAACATGACAAATATAACACTTAGAGATGCCTTTGGGATTTTTCTTCCCCACAGATTTACTACTAATATACAGGTAGAAAAAGGACACATTTCCTTGAATAATAGAGGCAGTGCTAATAGATGTTATTTTATAGTTACTGTGCCAGTTGTGTGACAGAAGTTTGAAGTTTCAAATGTTTTTCTCTATGCTTTTTAGTGGGGGCAGAAGAGAGGTGTTGTTGTGAAAGTGGTCTTTATGACTAATGAACATGGTTTTGTTTTTTAAAAAATAAATAAATTTCATTGACCTGTTGACACTTTTTTTAATTTTGAAAGACCACGTTTGTTCATGGAGGATTTTAAGATACCTGTGTTTGATCTTTGTTTTTAGATTTTTAAATTCATATCTTTAAATACTGTATTTACATTGCTTTTCTTATCCAAAGTAGTTTTCTTATGTTCTTACTTGAATTGTTAAATGTTAGAACTCAAAGGTAAAAGATTTATCTGTATGTAAACATGAAAAATATCATAAGATGCAAAATCATCCCTTGAGTTTGACCCAGGGTTTTAACTGTTTAAATTTTCTTGATCTCGTAGATTGGTATAGGTGATTCATCCTCACTTAATAGTGTTAATCCTCACTTAACAGCTAGTTGCTGTTATTAATGCCATATTTCTTGAAGATCTGTTAGGTAAATTCTTTTCATTTATTTCTATAGGCAGGACTTTAATTTTGGTAAAATCCTATATATGAGCTGTCTGTTTTCCTTCAGTTATATTCATTTAAATTGATCATTGCTTTTAAATCCTTCACTAAATAAGGATTCTACCTACTTTTCTTTTTACCGACTGTTAAGACAAGTAAATGAGTGTATTTGCTCTATATATGTAAATAATATAGATACATGTAGAGTAAGCAATGGAAGTTATGAGTTGCTCCTCTCCCTGCCCTGTAAACCGCTTTCTTCTCTACCTCTGTAGAAGTGAATCTTGTCAACAAGTTAGTATGTATCCTAGATTTTTGTCGGTGCTTTTGCATGCACATATGTGACTTTAAATGTCTTTTGGTAAAATCTGATGATTTTCTTAAAATGTTTTTCACATTTCTTATTAAAATTATTTCTAGATATGTTAGTTTTTATTGCTAATTTTGGATAAGGTTTTTAAAAAATACATTATCTAGTTGAGTATAGCCAATATTTAGTTTTATATATAGCCACTCTCTTTACTGTACCATTAGTTTTTATGACTTTCCAAGAAATTCACTTTATCTCATTAGTTGTTCAATCTAAAACGTGTGGCAGTGTTTCTTCTTAAACTTTTTTTTTTTTTTTTTGAGACAGGGTCTCACTATGTAGTTCAGACTGGCCTCAAACTCAAGGTGATCCTCCTGCCTCAGCGTCCTGAGTGCTGGAACTATAGGCATGCGCCACCATGCTCAACTTCTTAAATTTATACCTAATTTCTTTTTGTTGCCGTATTGCTCGGACCAGAATCTACAGTTTTGAATATTAGCGATTACATCTAATATCCTTTTTGCTTCTTTCCTTCTGTAGTGGAAATATTTTTTATTTAATAAAATGGAAAAAAGTTTTTTTCTAATTTTGACAACAATTTTTTTTAAAAAAATCAGCCGAGGGCTGGGGATTTAGCTCAGTGGTTTAGCCGCCTGCTGTGCAAGCACAAGGACCCGAGTTCGATCTCCAGTACCAAAAAAAAAAAAAAAAAATCAGCCGGCTGTGGTGGGACACACCAGTAATCCCAATACCCTGGGAAGCTGAGGCAAGAGGATTTCAAGTTGAAGCCCAACCTGGGCAACTTGCTGAGTGTCTCAGTATCACTCTCAGTCTAACTGAGGGTCTCACCCTGTCTTAGAATCAAACACAATTTTATTTTATTTTACTTTATTTTTGGTACTGGGGATCAAACTCAGGGCACCTGCGAGGCAGGCACAGCACCACTGAGCTAAATCCCTGGCCCCAAACATAATTTTAAAAAAGCTCAGTGCAAAAGGCCATGGGTACAATTTCTAGTACCATAAAAGAACAGAACGGAATAGGTTAGTTGGGCACAGTGGCGAGTGTATTCCAAGCTACCCGGGAGGCTAAGGGGAGGATCACTTGAGACCAATCTGGGCAACATAGTAAGACTGCTGTCTCAAAAAAGAAAAAAAATGAGGAATGGATATTTTATTTTATTAAATGTTTTCTCCACATCTATGGAAGGGCAAGTAGCTGGAAGAATGGTGGCTTATTGATACAGGTTGCTGATGTTTAGCATATTCCCATCTGCTTGAACTGCCGGTGATATACACATGACTGTCCATGTTCACAGCTGCCTGGCAATAAGACGTACAGATTATGGCCCCATCATGAACATGTTAGTTTTTTTTTTTCCCATAAATAAAGTGAGTGTATAAAGTCTATATTACTATACCACCTTTGTAGGAAATACAGCTCTCTCTGGTTCTTGAGGTTCCTAAGGTTTTTTCTACATTTTCTTTTACTGTTACTTCTTATTCTCTTATGTCAGTGTGCCTATCAACATTCTTCATTCTCATTTTTACTCTTTATTCTACATTCTCTTTTACTGTTTTTTATTCTCATGTCAATGTGCCTGTCAACACTCATAAATTATTTGATCATATTTATGTTTATACTTTTGTTCTCAGAATAACTAGTTTATTTAACAGTTAACTGAGAAATTATAATATGCTTAATCTTAGCACTCTGGGAAGCTGAGGCAGGGAGATCATGGTTCCTAAACAGTTTGGGGCTTGGTAAGACCCTGTCTCAAAATAAAAATAAATAATAAAAATAAAAGGCTGGGATATAGCTATGTGCAAAAGTTCTTCAGTCCCCAGAACTTAAAAAAAGAGCACCAATATGAACTTATCATTTGTTATCATTACTAATATAACCAGCCATTTGAAGTTCTTTGGTTTAGGAAAAGGATTTTCTGGTAGGAATACATAGGATTATTGGGATCACATAGGAATCCCACAATAGCAGCCATAGTGTATGACCAGAACTTCAGCAGGAGTTTAGGGTCTTCTACTCAGTGAAAGCTACTTCCTGTGTTTTCTTGTTTATATCTTTTAACTACTCAAATTACTTCTGTAATCTTCCTTTCTTTATTTACTTCCAAATTTCTATATGAGGTTCTACAGAATTTGATCTTCATGTGTAAGAGATTTTATAGTAAACCTTTGTAGCAAACAATGTTTTGCCTTTTTACAAAATGACACCTCTGAAATTATTTGATATTTTGGTATCGGGGATCGAATTCGGGTCCTTGAGCTTGGAAGGCAGGTGGTGGAACCACTGAACTAAATCATTTGATATTTTTTTAAAAAGCCTGTATGAATTTGTAAGCATTAACTCTATTCTGAGTTGAAGAGCTTGGTTGGATGTCAAATCTTGGTACTTTATTTTTTCAAGTGGCCTTATGTTAAATGATGGAAGTTTGTTAAGAAGAGTGAATGCTGTTGCTATTTTTTGTTTTAGTGATCATACTAGAGAACTACAATAGGACATGTTCCAGTAAACTCATTGTAAATTGACTCAACTTACAATAGAATGTGTTCCAATAAACTCACTGTAAATTGAAAATACCGTAAATCATAAATATAGTACATCTAACCTACTCACTGTCATAGCAATATAGTATACTATAAAGTTATACCCCAGTATTCTAGGTAGATAATTGGGAACTGCAGTTTATTGCTGCTGCCCAGTATTGAGAAGATCATAGCACATGTTACTAGGCCAAGAAAAGATCACAATTAAAAATTTGAAGTCCAGTAGAATGTGTATCACTTTGGCATAATTGTAAAATCAAAAAATCCTGAGTTAAACCATCATAAACTAGGGACCGTCTGTATTCATCAGTGATCTTCTTGGGTTTTTAAATTCAACTCTTAATTTTTTTCTTTTTGAATAAAATGATTTTATTAAAGACTAGAGGAATGTCTTTGCAACTATAAATTTTATTATTTGACAATATACATTAGAAAATATCTCAAATTTAATGGAAAAGATTATTACATTTTTGAGAGATTGTTACAAATATTCTATGAGTAGCATTAATAGTAACTCTTTGGTATTATAGTTACTGCTTATTTTCTAAAGATTTACGTTAAATATTGGGGTTTTTCAGCCTAAGCTTAATATTAAATCTTGCGAAAAAAAATTCTTTCTTACAGTGGTGATCCCTTGTCCAATACGGTTCTAACCTTCAGTACCAAAGAAGATGCGGTTGCCTTTGCAGAAAAAAATGGTATGATCTGTTTATTTTTTTCTTTTTTCTTACATATAAAATCAAGATATGATTTTATGTTCTTTAAAGCCATTTAGGAATATAGATGTGAATTGAAAGAAAGCTTTCAATGAATCTAAATCGGTGCTTTTTATACTTTTTTATTGCATTGGAATACCCCCTCAAAAAAAAAAAAATCTAAGATACAATGCCCAGTGTCACATGTAAAAGTCAAAATGCCCTAATTTGAAGGGACAGCAAATAAGAGCACTTGTCTAACACATACCTTGTTTCTGAATCCCTCTGAATAATCATTAAAATTTGGTTATGTAAATGCTAATTGAATGTATCATAAGGTGACCAGTTTCAGTTTTGATGTTGCTATTAAATAGTTCTTTCTTACTTTGAGCCAAAATTTGTTGCCTGTTCCGCCATCTAATCACTCTTAATTACTTGAAAATGGTTATTAATCATATTCACTCTTAAAATTTTCTTTAAGCTTAAATATTTATATTTTCTAGACATGGTAGACCTAATAGCAATTTTAATTTCAACTGTACAATTATATTAATGCAGGTTAAGAATATAATAGCTTTGGAGACACTCATGTTACAACATTGATTTATGTTGGTCTTGCTATCAGCAAAAATGCAAAATGTTTTTTTTTCCTTCATTTTCTGCTGTTAAGAAAGAAAAGAGTAGTGAAAAGAGGTATGGAGTCAGACCAGTCTGTATTCTCATTCTTATTATGCCACTTTAAAGCTGTATGATTTTGAATGACTTTCATAATAGATATATGTTTCTTCATCTTTGAAATGGTATTTAGCTCATGAGATGGGAATATATGTAGCCAATCCATGGACACTTGTTAATGATTAATTCTGACTCTTGCCTCCCTCCACCTACTATTTCTCTTTTTTTCCTCCTGTAGGTTCAGATGCACTTCTGTGCATCTGAACCTGATGCATTCTGTTCGACATGTTAGAAAATCTCCAGAATTTAGCATTGAAAAAGATGTCAGGTTCTAGTTGGTCAGATTGAATATAACTCTAATTGAGTTATTTGAATGAGATAGTCAAAGTAGATTGTTACCATAAGGCATTATATCAATGTAAACTGTTATTAGCCTTATCTAACACATCTGACATATCAATATGAAAGCACTGTAAATGTTACTATTACCTGAACTATTTGCTTTTCTTCCTCATTTTGTAATATACAGCTTATGATTAAAACCAGGGGTTATAGGTATATAGTACAGTGGTAGAACTTATGTTTAACATGCATAAAGCCCAAGTTGTGATCCTCACCATCATACCAAAAAAAAGAAAGAAAAAGCCTAAAACAGAACTACCTGGGTTTGCATCTACCTAGGGTGATTATGATTTTGTACTTCTATTTCCTCATATAGGAAATTCCTATGAGGATTAATGAGTTAATAAAAGCCAAGTGCTTAGAATAGTTAATAGTAGACTTAAAAAAAAATACTTAAGTGTAATTTCATATTAACCTTTTTGTCAAGTTCTAATTGCATAAATGTTTATTATCTTTCTTAATTGCATAAATGTTTTCAAAATGGTCAGTCTAAGTTATTTTGATTTAAAACATCAAAATATTTTTTAAATATTTTAATTAAACTGTAACATGGTTATCAAAAACGGTTTTATTAATGTTATCCTTTCTGCCTACCATATTTAATGTCTGACACCTTGAAAATTACTCATTTGTGGTCTATAACATGAGTTTAATAAGAGGAAATCTAATTAAACTATTAAAACCCTGGTTAATCTCTAAGTGGTCACAAGGACTATATGACTACAGTTATTATCCTCATTTTTTTTTTTTTTTTTTTTTTTTTACCATGGATCAAACTTGGGACCTTGTGCTTGCAAGGCAGGCAGCAGAACCACTGAGCTTAATCCCTGGCCTATGATCCTCATTTTATAGTTCAAGGAAACTGAGGTTTATTCAGACATTTTCAAGGATCTATGCTTAATGAGGAAATTACTCAGTTGATAAAGTTCTTCACAATGTAAGCACTAATCTACCTATGCTAATGTGTACCCCAACTATCCTTTCTACCATTCTCACTCATACCTATTCACTCTCTCATCTTTATCCATACCTGTGAAATTCAACTTTGTCTTTAAAACCAACTTGATACGTGATCTCCTTTCCTGATCCTTTTTCTTTGTTTGGTGTGGTGCTGGAAATTGAACCCAGGGCCTCGCACATACTAGGCAACTATTGTACTACTAAGCTGCATCCCTAGATCCGTTTTGTCATTCTTCTGCCCCACCTCGTCTCTCACCCTTAGGGGCATGAGCTCTCCAACATCCACAGTAAGGCATAACCCTCATGCTTAAACTGTATGATTTTATCTTGCCTACTAAATTATAAGCACCTGCCAGGGGAAATACCAAGTCTCATTTGACTTTATCTTTTCATCTGCTCAATAAATATTGGTGAGTGTAAACTGTACATTTCTTTCCAGATTGTTTTACTTTTCTATAAATCACTTTAATTGCTGCTTCTGTCTCTTAGTGGACCTTTTAATCCCCTCTAACTAGAAAACTGAAGAAAGAAAACTATTATTAATAGAATAATTTAACAATTTCTTTTGTAAGGGAAAAGAATTTTCATTTTGCCCTCAACGATTTGATATTTGGGTCTATGAAATAAACTGACAATAAAATATAAGACTAAAAGAAGAGCCAGTTTCAAATAGAATGTCTTATTTTTAGTTTATTGAAGAGTCTCCATACTAATTGATGATTTTCATAATGGGTTATACTATTCTACATTCCCACCAACAATGCAGAAGGTTCCTTTTCTCCCACAGCCTCTCCAGCATTTGTTATTATTTGATTTGTTGATGATAGCCTTTTTTTATGGAGTAAAATGGAATCTCAGTATTGTTTTAATTTGCAGTTCTCTAATGACCAAAGATGTTGAACTTTTTTTTAATGTATTAGCCATTTGTATTTCTTCTGAGAAATGTCAGTTTATTTCAGTTGCCCATGTTTTGATTGGGTCTTTTATTTTGGGAGGTCTAATTATTTAAAATTCTTTATATATTCTAGATATTAGTCCTTTATTCAAGGAATAGCTGGCAAGATTTTTTTTCCCATTCTGTATTTCTTCACTCTATTGGTTGTTTCCTTAGCCAAAAGAGTTAAAGATATATTACAGTGGTACATGCATACCCATATTTATAGCAGCACAGTTTACAGTAACATTTGGAGGTAGCCTGGATGTCCATCAGCAGATTAATGGATAAAGAAAGTGTGGTATTTATATACAACAGAGTACTACTCTACTATGAAGGATAAAGCCCCAAATATAAAGAGCAAAATAAAAGGTAGATAATAAGAAATAGGGAAATAGATCTCTTACAAAGGGAAAGGAGTAAGGAGAGAGGGAAGAGGAAAGGGATATTGTTGTTGTTGTTGTTGTTACCGGGGATGGAACTCAGGACCTCATGCTTGCCAGGCAGGCACTGTGCCACTGAGCTAAATCTCCAGCCCAGAAGATGTTTTATGTACATGTACTGACTCCCCATGAGGAATGTAACCATTATGTAATGCAAACATGTATGACTAAAAAGATATAAATTTTTTTTAAAGGCTAAATGGTTGAAATTGTACCATCCTGAGCTAAGGAAATGAGTAAGAGCTTGGGGTTTTGGGTAGGTAGGTGATGACAGATTGTGGGGGGGGGTGAGAAGTGAAAAGGCATGGTGAACAAGGTGGTCTTATGAAGATGGAGGCTCAGAGAATAGTCTTCAGTAGAGGTGAAATGCTTTGGCAGAGTTTCTCTGAGCAAGGTGGCATCTATTTTCAGTCTGCTTTTCCTGTGTCCCTAATTAACGTGTGGTATATGGGATTACAAAAAGGGAGTTCATAACAGTTGTATGCTGCTCTAGGAACTCCTTTTAGTTGATTAAGAGAAATTCCGAGAAAGCTCCAGGAAAAATGGACCAGACAATAAATATTTGTCTGTCAAATTAATTTAGAGTTTATCTTGAGTTTTTTAAGTGTTACACACCAAATTATATTGCAGCATACTGAATATGATCTTTTCACATTAGAGTTGTTTCTGAACTCTATACTACTTGTTCTAAATTCTTCCTTTTGTTAAGGATATGGAAATCTAGAGAAGTTATTAATAGGCTGAAGTTTTTAGATTCCAAGTACAGTGTTTATTCTGTGGTACTATGAAGCTGATAGAGCTTAAAAATTAATCATCTAGGGCCAGGAATTTAGCTCAGTGGTTCCATCGCCAGCCTCTCAAGTGCAAGGTTCTGAGTTTGATGCTGGCACCAAAAAAAAAAAAAAATCATCTAGATCCACAATGTCCAGTATGATAACCACATGTGGCTTTAGTCCTTGAAATGTGTCTAGTTAGTATTGAAATGTGTTATAAATGTAAAATACCCACTAAATTTCAAAGACTTAGTATGAAATCATTAATCATTTAGTTCATGTTAAAATGATAATCTAGATATATTGGGCTAAGACATGATTAAAGTTAATTTTACTTTTTAAAATTCATTTAATGTAGCTACTAGAAAATTTTAAATTGTGTGGTTCACATTATAGTTCCATTGAACAGCACTGATCTATATAGTATGCAGCAGTGTACAGGATATACATTATGTACATATTCTAAATAATTCATTTATATATAAACTATAATGTATGTGAAAAAATAGAACAACTTGGTAAAGTTCAGATTTTATATTTCTTTGAAAATACAGTTCTATTCTTCAAAAACCTGGAATAAATCCCAGAAATTTATATTTTTGGGTCCATCTTTTTATATAAGAAAGTCCTCATTGTCTGATAAAAGAAGTTTTCTTCTTGCTGTTGATAATTCCTGCAACTATCCTCCTGCTTCTGTCTTTACATAACTTTCTTTTCTCACCATATCTCACTTCCTTTGGAAGGCTAATTTTTCTGAACTTGGGGAGAGGGAAAGAAAAACAGAATACCTCCTGTGGCTCCTCCCATCTTTTACTTTCTCAAGTCTTCCCTGCCCTCAGCCTACGCTCAAAACAAAATGTAAACACCCTTGGGTCTTTTGGCTTTATGCAAAGTCTATCCTAAATATGGCCCTTTAAACTCATCATCTATTCTAGAAGAATTCTTGGAAGATAACCTTTCTTTGTAAAAAGGGGGAAGACTGTCTGAGGTTTACTCTGAAATGTAGATAAACTTTACTCGTTCTTTGTGTTCTGAAAAGATCCACCTTCTCATCCATATGGTCTTTGTCTTCCCTTGTATTATGTGAAGGATGGGGAGGAGAGGAAGCTGTGTCATGGAGAGAGGAGTTGGAAGACAGCTGTGGAAAATGTGGATGGTAAAAGACTAAGATCTACTACCATTTACTTGCTAATGAAAACCAGAAATGGCTCCCCTCCCCTTTGATCTGACTTGAAACTTTGCAACTTTTCTGTGGTATGTCTTTTTACCCGCTGTGTTTTTCTCATTGTTAGCTATTAAAAAAAACAAAAAAACAACTCTTTGAAATTCTCAAAGGAAAGGAAAGGAAAGGGCTGAGGACAAACTGAAACTGCATTGTGTTTGCAGTACTCTGTTGGGAAGGAAAACCCATCTCTGAACAGAAGGTAGAAGCAGGGGAAGAGGCAGACAGGTCCTCAAAAACAAAGTGTTCATTGGAGATGCAGCTCAGGACTTAGATTTCTCCCAGAGGTGGACACGACCAGTAAGGTATGGACTTTGTTTACCTTAACCTCTTAAGAAAGTCTTAACTTTACTCCATATAGCTGTTTAAAACAACTTCCAAACAAAAGAATCACTACTGTCATACAGATACAAGATGCAAAGTAAAATAATTTATTTTGTTCATGATATGAGAACTAGCTAGACGTTTAACAGCACAGATTTATGTAGAATAAAGTAATTTTGAGGTGAATTGCAAAATTGGGTTTTTTTCCTTGGGGAAGAGGAGTGTCAATTACAACTCATAGGACCCAGGACAGAGTTTATGTGCTTATCAGTTGTGTATAACTTAAAAAGAGTTGCCAATAGATGAAGACAAGCAACAGAAATAAAACTAATAATGCTGAAGGGCAAGGGTATACTAGTGCATAGTTTTCCATTGAGACATAATCTTTTTTGATTCTTTCCCTCTTCCCTATCCACGGTTTTTTTGAGGGGTGGGATATCGCTAATATTATATCTCATTAGCCCCTTACTGGGAATTCAGTTTTCCCACAAGTTTTGTTTAGAGACACCTTATTCTGTGCTATTTAGAAATTGTGTAGGTATCTAATGAAAATATCTAACTGATAACGTCTTAATATTTTTTGTTACCTACCAATCTGAAAAATTAATTTTTAAGATAACATACTACAGAACATAATTAAAAATAAGATTGCCAGAATAATCCATTTGGTTAAAACACAAATTTACATTTTTTACAACTGTAGACATTTAACAATCATGGTTTACTTGATCAGTAAACTTGTATATATAACTTCAGGAAGAACATATTTAACAAGAATAAAAATCTGTGTATTAAATTTAATGCTGATAAGGCAGAGAAAACATAGCTATTTTCATTAAATCAGAATTATTAGTCTTGTTTACCTGCATATATTAACTTATTCTTGAAATGTTTCTTTTAAAATCTGGCACATTTAAAGTATTAGAAATTCATATAACAACTTATTTATCTCCTTAAACAGATTTTATAATTTAAAAAGTTAAATTATAAAAAAGCCACTTGGAGGTAGAAAAATGTCACTTACAAACATAAAGAGAAGTAAAGGCAAGACTAATCAACCAGATTCTTTGTCTTTTCCCTCTTAATAGAGAATAGGCATTTATAAATTATCGATCTGTTTACAGGGGATCATCAGATGGGCAGATTGTAAAACCAGTCACCAAACTTATTACCAAATTAAAATTAGAAAGAAAAGTCAACAAGGTTATCTTGTTTTGGATCTTTGCTCTTAGAGCCAAGGAAAGATGTCCTGTATATGGTCTTAAGCATAGATACGCCATTTCTTTGGTGGAGAAGTTTGCCTGCTTTTGGTTGGTCCAGCTATTGGGGAGCTCAGTGAGACCTCCAAAATTACTGGTAGAAATTTTTCAGAAAAATACAATCATGACTAACAGATATAAAATGAAATGTGATGTAAGGGAGCCAGGCATATGTTATATAACCAGTTCAAGTGACAACACAAATTTTTATAGGATAAAAAAATGTTGAGATAAAGTGCAAAGGAAGACAAAACTGGTTTTCCCTGGCCTGAGGTAAGTGGAGGATCAATTAAATCACAAAGAAATAGAACAGAACTTATATATCAATTTGCCTTATTCATAATGATTGTGTCCTGAAAGTGACTCAGAACACTAAATCAGCAAACACTGAACCTGAACAGTTTCTGCTAAAGAAATATACAGTGGGGTTCAGTAGGCTTTTGGTCAAATTCTTTTAGCTGATCCATACTAAGTCTGTTTTATGTACTTCCATTTAAAGACACCTTATTTAATGTATATTACTTTTGGTTCGTCAACACTGAACTCTCAGCCAACAGCACTGTAACTCATATATGAACAAAGCTTATCTGACACCCATTTGGCACATCAGTCTTTTTGTGCTTAGGAACACTAGTCAGAACTTAAGCACCATGCTTGGGGTCATTTTAAATTGTGAAATCAACCAGAAGTACAAAAATATAAAAAGTGAGGCTCTAAATAGACCTTGAAAAGCACATGTGTTTATAGTATGAGAGCTGAAACCTTGCTTGACCTCAGCTGGGAACATGTGTTGGGCAACTCAAACTTTTGCCATTCTCATCATGTCATAAATGACCACAGAAACACCATGAGTAGTACTTTTGGGATTATAAATTTTAGTGAGTAGGTAAATTCACAAATATTAAACATTTTTACATACAGAGGTGGGGTTTTTTTTCCCCGATCCAGCTTTCTTCCCAGTCCCTAATGGGGAGAGGGGTGAGTTAGACTCAGTGATTCCTTAGGTCTCCTGTTAGAAAATAAAGTAATTTCTTCATAGTAGTAGAGATATATATCGGGACTTAGTTTGGTTCCTAGTATATTTATTATGAGCTAAGTAGGATACTGGGAATCCTTGTGTATAGTTCATGCCCCAGACCAATTGCAGAAGCTCTGGGAGTGATATTTAGCTTTCCATGTATAGTTTCTTTTTCCAGAAAAATGTGTTGTTTCTTACAATTGACTTTAAGTATACTTTTGGAATATAAGAGCTGTACAAAGACAATGATTTGTTTTGTGATAAATTTTGAATTCTGTGGTTCCAATCATTTCTCTGGAAATAAGAATAATACTATTATAGCAAGTATATTATTTGAAAAGAAAAAAAAATTGGGGAGTACTGGGAATTAAACTCAGGACCTCGCACTTGCCAGGCAGGTGCTATGCCACTGAGCTACATCCCTGGCCCTGAAAAGAAAATTTAAGGGGACCATTGGCTCACATCAAAGGGTTTTTTTTTTTTTTAAGAGGTGTCACAACTGTAGCAGGTATTATAGGGCATTAATAATCTAATATTTCAGGTGCCTCACATTTGCATCTTATGTGCTTGTTAAAATAGTTTTCATGAAAAGAATTGCTTTGCCAGTGTATCCAAAATTTTGAATCTCCTCTATAATATTTTCTAAAAGAAGATCTAAGATTCTTTTAAATAATTACAAATCTTCTCTTCCCTAACCTCATATTAGGTTCTTGGTAATTTCGAAGTAGAGGAACTTTTAAAGTGAAGCTCCCGAAAAGTTACTTTTCTTCCTTTTCTACTTGAAGTTATATGTTAAGTTTATGTTTTGCTTTCAGTCGGGTATAATGTCAGTATATATCTTAATAAGGAATCAAGAAACTTTCCAGGTACCAATGTATAACCCTTTAGCCTCCCAAAACTTTGCTATTCTAATCCATGTGTTGGTTAGCAGTGGGTTCAAGTTATGTAAGTTTGTGCCAAATTGTGTGGTAGTGCTTGTTTTGCCAAAAATTATTAAACTGTTAACCTTTGGAACTAATGTCTAGGTTTGTGATTATATTATTAAAGGAGAAATACTTTTCATAAACACAGTAGTGACTACTTTCAGAGGATGAGATTCATTGGGTAACTAAAGGTTAGACATTTCACGAGCAATAAAAGAATGATTAATTTTTCTCTATTTTTGTATTGCTAAATCACAAATGAAAGGGTTCTGTAAATAAAAATGAATGGAATTCATTTTTTTTCTCTCATACATGGAATTCAAAAGTTACTGTGATCTGGTTTTGTTCAGGGACTTTTTTTGAGTGGGGGGCATTTGAAAAGATTGCACCTACTGGTCATATCCTAGGAAATAAATATTCCAACTACAATGTAGAGATCTACAAAATAAACTGGCATGTTTCTTCAAAAAGAAATTGGGCATTGGATATTAAACATCACATTTTACTGAATCATTTACCCAATACTTACATTAGGGCTTAAAATTCAAAATATTTTTTTGAAAGCATTCCTGTGTGTGAAATGGCAAAGGAAGTCAGCTTCTCATGATGGTAGGTGCTGGTGGTTTGATTTGTGACTAATCCATGCCATATGGCTGCTCTCCTCAGTCAGAAGTGATGGCAGGCCTGGGCCAGCTGCCTTGGACTCAGTTGCTTTCATCTTCTGTTGCACAGCTGGGAAAAACAGGGCTGGTTTTGAGTGTCCTAACAGGACAATACATGGACCCATTGTCATAGATTGCACCTTCATTTTATATAATAAGCATTCTTCAGAGAGTACTAGGGTTTTCACTTCCATGATACTCAGAAATACAAGGTGGGTTATTTAGAAACAAATTTCAGATGGGACATAGAAATAATGAGTGTAATTCATTTAACTTACCTAGCATTAAGTACATATTTAGTATTTTTCAACTATTGTTATTTTTTAGTTATTTTCTATTTTTAGCTAAAGTTCACTGCTTACTGTAGTTACCTTTATATTCAAATATAATGAGACGAGTAAATTTGTTCTTCCAACCATTGTAAGATAATAACACTTTGGAGGTAAGTTGTAATGCTTAGAAATGTGATCAGATTCTTAACAGTATCCCCAGAAGGAGCAAATGCTGTTATAATAACAGTTCTAAAATAATAGATCCATTTTCTGAATAAGAATAGAAAATCCAAAGAGAGTTATGTAGTCTTATTTTAGTTTCGGTCCGTACTGAGAATTAGCACCAAACTTCCTTATACCCTTCTTTAATTTTACTAAAGCAAAGCACAGTTGCTTTTGCTCAGCTTGGGGAACAAAGTTGTTTTCCATAGAAAACATCCTAATAATCCTGGGTGGTTGTGGCAGAGTAGTAATACGGAGGTTTTAGGAAATAGAGGTTTCTTCCATGTGTATTTTAGTTTTTCATAGGGTGCTTTGTCCACACCTTGTAATCCATATTATAGTACTCTATTGTTGTTATCACCATCAACAACTATAATCTGGCTCATAATTCCCAGGAGAAAACCCAAAATAGTTGTTCCTTTATGTATATAAAACACTAGTCCTCTCACATTGCACTGAGTCTGACAGCACTTTGAAACTCCATTAACAGAATAAGTTATAATATTAATTTTCTGATGTAGTAAAAAGAAATTTTCTGTCAGATATATATATTTTTTGTAGCTATTTCCTAAGTATTTTCAAGTACTTTCTCATTTCTCCTGTAGTTTCTCTCATAATACCTTTATTGAGTTGGAAAGTGTATTGGGAGGCAATGGGAGGAGGGAGAACATATGTTCTCTTACCCCTTATTTGGCAAGAAAATATTGTGGAGATCTCGAGTAACTTACCATTGAGCAAATATAGCCACAATTGGAGGTAGGGGACTTAAGAATCTTTTCCAAATATTTTTTGAAAATAAAAGGGAAAAAGAGTTACCAGTCACACAGATTGAAAGGAAATGGGGAAATAAAAAATGTAATTATAAGAAATTTTTAAAGAAGTTCAGTTTTAATTATGAGGTAGTTAGGTGCATAGCTTTGAAGTCAGCCTGTGTTAAAAATCAGCCTAGCTTTGGCATTTTTAGCCCTGTGCATTTTTTTCTCTATGCTTTATTGTTCCTTATAATCAAATATAAAATTATGTATATATAATGCCTACCTTAGTCTATAAACTCAAAGAAAAATACCTCCGTAAAAATATGTTGCAAATACAGGGCCTAAAATCTAGAACACTATACACCAGGCATGTTCTTGCCTTGATCAAGGCCTTTGTAATTGGGTTTCTCTGCCTGGAAGCTTTTTTCCAAGATGACCTCCTCCAGATCTTAAATGTTACCTGCTCAGGGACAAAGGGTTTCCTTGTCTACCTTGTCCAAAATGTTTTTTCTTTGGTACTCATTAGCATATATATTTTTAAGTACTGTACACTATTACAAGATTGGCACCTAGTATATCGTGCACTTAGTAATTTCTCTTCACTTTGAGAAGTTTGGGCCAGGCATGGTGGTGCAAACTTGTAATTCCAGCACTTACAGAGAGACTGAGGCAGGAGGACGCCCAATCCACTGCAAAGTCAAATTTAATGGACTTCATTGTGATGGAAATTTATGAATAACATGTGTTGCTGGGAAGTTATGGATCAAATTTTAGGGAGAATACCTTAACAGTTTACAGACCATAATAGATAATATACCACAATTGTTACAGCATAAGCTCCAGAATCAGGCTGCCTGTTGAAATCCTATGACCCTCCCTGGCTGAATGACCTTGTACTTACTAGTCAACCTCTTTGACCCTTGGTTTACTCATGTATACAAAGATGATAATTTATGTGAGACTTTTAGAAAAAGTACCTTTTCATAAGAACTTAATAAATGATTAAGTACTAATTGTTTTCTATAAATATATGTATTTGTTTAATCTTCATGACAAACTTATAAATAGGTACTATTTGATGCCCTTTAGTAAATTTTTGAGATGCAAATAACTGTTAATGCACTTGTTTTGTAAATTCAGGTTCTCTTAAAATAAGCTGTAACTTTGTAATTTTTGCTAATCAGTAGGCATGTACCGAAAACATTTTCTCTACTCTGCAATCAAGGTTATGTTGAACAAATGAATTCGATCTGTATATTCTCTCTTACATTCTGATATTTAATTTGCCTTCCTACTTCCCCATTCCCTATAACTGTTGGAGTTTCTTTGAAGATAAAAGGAGTTCTGATAATGGGAATGTAATGTCCAATATTGAATACATTAGTTTAAAAGATTAGTTTGAAGTATTGTGTTAAATGCTATCTTCCCTTTTTTAGCGGTACTGGCTATTAAACCCAGAGCTTTGCCTAGTAAGGGCAGGCAATCCACTACTGAGTTATTTTTTTTGGCCCTTTTAAAAAAAATCTGTTTGTTGAAACAGGGTCTCACCAAGTTTCCCAAAGTATCCTCATACTTGGCAATCCTCCTGCCTCAGCCTCCAGAGTAGTTGGGATCATCACCATGTCTGGCTTATTTTTCTTCATTGAACAATCATAGTAGTATACTTTAATGACTTGAGTTTCATTAGGTCTGTCTTTTGTGGCAAAATTGAATTTCAGCTAAGGGATAATTGAGACAAACTTTGTGGCACCAAGTACTCTCCTCACTGAGAGTCAGTAGAATGTTTTAGACCTTGTAAGATCAAGAAGCTCACTTCTTTAGATTGTATTAACATGCAGCTTATACATTTTGGACATGAATACCAGGAATCAGATGTTTTAAGATGAGTTATTTGAAGAAAGACCTGAGAGAGAACAATGATAAATTATAGGGATGGGAAAATGAATCTTATAAAGAAAAGGAAATTACCAGGGTTGGTTGGCCTGAAGAACACAAGGGTAATTTAATTATATTTTCATGGAGGAGATAAAACACTGAAAAGGGCTTTGGAGAAAAGAGATAAACTCTCCAAAAAGAATAGACCGTTTTGACCAGTGGTTCTCAATTTTCTTTGCATAGAATTGAGAGATAAAGGAAAGCTTCTCAGGCCCCCACCAGAGATTCTGATCCATTCGGTCAGTAGTCAGGCCCAAGCAGCTGCATTGTCATCAGGTAATTCCATGTGATTCTAACTAATGTAGACAGCCCTTGAAACAAAGGTTGAAAACTTAGTAGGAGGGCTGAACCAGGTGATCTCTCATGGTCCAGTCAAACTGATCTGTCAATCAGTCTATCCACCCACACCCACACACATTTTCTTCTGTCATTTTGGATGAGTTCCAAACTGTTGTAAAGACACCAGATTTCAAACAGATGAGATATATTGTTCAGTGTTCCACATCATAGTTATTAAAGAAGTCACTTGTTAAACCACATAGAGAAATCTAAAGCTTAATATATAACCATCATAATTGAGCAAAGAATATTGAGCAAGGGGAAATGAAATGATCAGTTACACCTTTAATGTAAGATAGGATAAATCATCTTTAGGCAACACTTGGATCCTCTGGCCACATAGGATTACTGTATAAAAACCAGTTTCTAGGTAATTTATATTTTAGTTATGTTGGCATTTACTCTTGATGATAAATGAACATTAAATCATAAAAGTTAGCTTCTCCTTGCTGTCTTTCTTCAGGTATCCTCTTTAATTCTCTTTCTGTTTTTTGTGTTTCTCTCTAGGATGGAGCTATGACATTGAGGAGAGGAGAGTTCCAAAACCTAAGTCCAAGTCTTATGGTGCAAACTTTTCTTGGAACAAAAGAACAAGAGTATCCACAAAATAGGTTGGCATTGGCTATGTCTCTGTGTTGACTGTGAATAAAGTCATCTTTGCAGTATTTATAGTCTATGTATGCATGTCTGTCTAATAAATTTGACTTTTAAACCTCAGGTAACATTTTGCAGTTTCTATTTTAAATGTTTTTGATGTTTCAAATTGAACATGTTAGTTTCCTTTATATACAGGAGATTAGAGGTGATCCATACCTCTAGGAAATCTTGACACTTAGAATATATTTAAGGAAATGCTTGAAATCAGGTGCAGGCTTGAAGTATTGTGCTTGCTTTTTGTAGCCATTCCCAATAATCGTTTATAATCGACCAACCATTATTAAAATGTTCTTAGAACTTCTTTGATTATAGAGAAGTACGTGATAACATCCATTCTGATAAACTTAAGCTAAATCTCCTTATTATTGAATTCACACTTTGTATTTTTTAAGGTTCTGTGAAATTTGAGTGGTAATCCACACTAATTTCTGCCCATTAATACACAGTCGTGAAGGAGTCTAGTGATTTTATATTCTTAGGAATTGACTCAGAAAATAAAAACTAGCTTATTGTTGGGGATTTTCAGTATTCATACTGTTTACTTTTGTTTGTAGTACTGGTGATTAAACCCAGGGCTTTTGCAGTGAGCTACATCCACATCCCTTTTTTTACTTTTTATTTTGAGACTGGGTCTTGCAAAGTTGCTTAAGTAGCCCAGGCTGGGTTTGGACTTGCACTCATTCTGCTTCAGACTTCCAGAATGCTGGGATTACAATTGAATACCACCATGCCCAACTTCAAATGGTTTAATGAAAGTACATGTTTTTGTTTGTTGATCATTTAGGTCATACAGTGTGAATTGTCAAGCACATGCTCTTATCAGGCTCTTCAACCTATATGGATATACTAACTCATAAAAACTATCAGGCACTATTATATTCCCCATTTTGAGGGGAAAAAAACACATCAAGGCTTAAAATGATTAAATAACATGCTCAAGATCACACAAATCTTACATGGCAAAGCTGGAGCCCATGTCTGTATGTCTTCAAAGCCCATAGTCTAAATTATAGTAGTTAACAAAGTAAAAGGCTTGATTAATGGCAGATGCTTTCGTTGGGTTGTTAATATGCTCTTTGGTGTTTCTGAGTTTGCCTCAGAATTTCATTTCATACAAACAACACATTGATCTAGTTCAACAAGAAAATGCATCAGAGTATAAATCTGTATAATGTTGTATTGGAGAGCAAATTGACAGTCCTCTTTCAAAATGTTAAATGTATTTTCCATTTAATTTTTTTTGTAAAAAGTCTAAACAAATAACCGGGGGTATACATGGACAAAATATATACATGAACAAATTATACAGATATTTATTGCAGAATTATTTCTAAAATAACTAGTAAGTTGAAACAGTCTAAACATGTATTAAAGAGGGGGTGTGGCTCAGTGGCAGAGCACATACCTAAACATGTATTAAAGAGGAACCAAGTTGGAGTATTATATAGCTATTAAAAAGAATAAGAAGTATCTATATAAGCTTTTAGAAATGTTATTCAAGGTATATTGTTAAGTGAAGAAGAACATAATAGATGGCACATACATGTGGGAGTGAGGTGAAGCAGTAAATGCTACCTTATATATTCCTAGAATATTTCAGGAAAGATATATAAGAAACTTAAAACAGTGATTTTTAATGGTATGATTCGTTATAGGAAATCAGTAGGTCTTTCACCCTTTATTTCCCCTGTAATGGACATTGAACCTTAAGGGGTTCAGTGCATGCTAGGCAAGTGTTCTACCACTGAGCCACCTCTCCTTTTTTTATTTTGAGACAAGTTTTGCTCAGTTGTGCAGGTTGGCTTTGAACTTGCAATCCTTCTGCCTTAGCCTCTTGAGTAGTCAGGATTTAAGTGTGTGCCACTGTAAAGTTATTTCAACTTTAATACACTGCTTGAATACATTACATCTGTTGTTTGCATAATTATAGTTATTTATAATGAAATTAATTCATGTTGCCTATCTTAAGTTATTTGATTTTTTAAAAATTGGGTCTTTTATTTGAGGATAATTTTTTTTATTATGTTTGAGATACTACTTCTCTAAAGAATTGCTGACAAAATTTTATCTCCATTCTGAGGACTGTCTCTTGAAGGTAAACTTTGAGAGATGATGAAATACAGTGCAACTCAGTAAGAAGTTTAATAGTTTTTGTGAAATTCACAAATGTGTGGAAATTGAGAAATATTCTCCTCGCTTTGGAACCCATCTTGCGAACACCAGCAGCCCCACAGGAACACACCTCCCGGGCCGTGCCCCACCAGACCATGCTACGAGGGCCCTGCAGTATCTGAATCCATACAGCAGAGGCACCAGGGGGAACATAAAGACCGTGGTTATGAGCTGCAGCAGTGAACAACAGAGAGGGCCTCTCTGAGGCTCCTTAATGAAAACTGAAGCCCACTGGGAAAGTGAAGAAAATCTTTTCAATAAAAGCACACTGGACCATCGTGGTTGGTAAGTTGATGGGATCATCACCTCCCATAGAAGTCCAGACTCACTTAGAGGGGAGGACAGCTCTGACCTACAGTAGGACCTTGTAGAGTTTAATCTACAGGAGGTCAGGGACCTCAACTTGGACCTTGCAGTCAGAAATCAGCCTGAATCTCAGTAGACTACAGCTGGCTTGCTGAAACTAATTGACTTAGACCCGCACACTGCATCCCGCATTGTCTTCCAGGACAGAAGAGACATATCCTGAGGGAGAACTTTCTTTGGTTTGGTTTTGTATGTGTGTGTGTGTGTGTGTGTGTGTATAGTTAGTTGTTGTTTGTTTTTTCCTGTTCTCTCTCTCTCTCCCTCCTGGCTCTATATTTCTCTCCCTCTTTGTTCCTGTTCCTGTCCTATTTTGAACTGATTCTCTCTTTTGGTCCTCTCAACTGCTATAGGAAGGTGAATACAATTCGTTCCTTCCCTGTTATTGTCAGTTTCCTCTGTAATTGTCTCTGTTCTTTAGCTGTCTTTTCCTCCTGTCTTCAACAGATTCCCACAATTTGCGTGATCTTCCTGTGTCCTCTAACCTTTCCCTCTCCCTCTTATCTCTCTATCCCTCCCTCCCCAACCCCTTCTAAATCCTTATCCCAAAAGGAAAATTTGCCATATTGAAGGGTTTACTTACTACAAGCATATTTTGGGTTGGCCCTAGATTTTGATCTAGCTCTTGTGGTTAAATGTGACAAATTACTACCACAAATTGTCATTTTCTAAGCTGTGTTTGATGCTATTGTTGATGCTGATTGTGTCAGTTGGGGCTAAGGTGTCATGATTGATCTAATCAGGTGTTCTCCCTGGTATACTGAAAACAAGATTTCGGAAGAGTCATTAGAGAGACTTAAAGCCTAAAAAGTCCATCTATACCTGGAAGATATCTCTGAAAAGCAGTCACTCGATAAGGGCTCTAAGCACAAGTAATAAAGATACTCACAATAAGAAATATCAAAGTATCAGCCCAGGACTTAAAGCAAAAAACAGAACCAACACTAGAAATAAAAATGAGAAGACACTTTGGCCGGACACAAAGCCAGACTTCCAGCTCACCAAAAGCAAATTCTGGAGGAAACAAATTGGAAAAATCTGATAATCAACCACCTGAATACCCTGAACTGATAGCATGGGAAGTAACAAAACAGATGAATGAGGCTCTAGAAATATTTAAAACAAATAATTTCCCAGATAACTACAGAGATGATGAGCAGAGTGGAAGACATGATTAGAGACTCTAGAACAGAAACAGATTAAAAAAATAGATGAACTAAGGACCATGTTGGAAGCCATGAATGCCCAGCAAAAGAAAAAAATTAAAATCATGAACACCCAACATACGAAAGAAATGCAAATCCATGAAACAGATTAAACAGATATACAGGAGATTAAAAACTCCAAAGTATTCACAGCAGATTGAGCAAATGTGAAGATAGAATATCAGATACAGAAGGCAGGATTATGGTTAGTGACCATGAAAACAGAGATTTCTTAAAAATGCTAAGGGACCATGAGAAATCAATCCAGCAGCTGCTAGATGATGCAAAGAAGAATAACATAAGACTGATAGGAGTCCATCAAAAAGCAGAAGAAAGTACAAATGACATAAAAAAACTGTTCTCAGAAGTAATAGTAGAAAACTTCCCAGACAGAGGTAGAGAATTGGACATACAGATAAGTGAGGCATATAAAACTCCAACTAGCCATGACCAAAAAAAAATCTACACCTAGTCATATAATAGTCCAGATCCCAGAAACCCAACAGAAGAACAAAATCACACAAGCAGTTAGAGAAAAGAAACAAATCACCTACAAAGAAAGGAAAGCCCATCAGAATCACAGCAGACTTCTCAACCAAACCCTCAAGTCAAGGAGAGGCTGGAAGTGAAGTTATTTCAAGCCCTAAAAGAAAATAACTTCCAACCTAGACTTTTGTATCCTGCAAAATTATCTTTCAGAATTGATGGGGAAATTAGATACTTCCATGACAAAGAACACCTGAGAAATTTCATGAACACCAAACCAGCACTCCAAACAATTCTAAAGAATATCCTGGAAAAAGACAACGAAGGTCACAACTCCGTGAGGCCCAACAGAGGAAAACCATCAGGGAAGACAAGAAACTAAGGGGAAAGGGGGAAAAATAAAAGAGCCAACAACAGCAAAACATCATGACAAGGATGAGTCAATATCAATTATAACCATCAATGTTAATGGCCACAATTCACCAATCAAAAGAAATAGAATGGCAGAATGGATTAAGAAACAAAATCCAACAATATGCTGTATACAAGAAACACACCTAATTCAAAAAGAAATTCATAGACTGAAAGTAAAAGGATGGAAAACTTCTCCAAATGAACAGGAACCCAGAAAAAAGCAGGGGTAGCAATCTTATTTGCAGACAAAGTAGATTTCAAACCAAAATGTTAAGAGAGACAAAGATGGTCACTACATCCTTGTGAAGGGAACAATCCAAGAGGAAGAGATGACAATCCTAAATATATATGCACCAAATACAAACGCCCCCAACTATACAAAACAAATGTTAATGGACATGAAACACCAAATAAGCACTA